CAAGCAAATATACTGCTCTTCAACGGGCTGATACTCTATGTATAATCTCTTAATAATCTTTATACAATAATAATTGAAAGCTTTTGTTATTGGCATGTGCGGGCGTGTATCAATTTACTTACTTTAGCTGTAAACAGTCTAATGCATTCCCCCGAAAGCACATGCCAATAGCAAAGCTTTTTCAATTATTTTGTTTTAAGAACATTAACAGATTGTACGTAGAGGTTTAGCCCGTTGAAGAGTAGTATATTTGATCGAAATCTTGCAAATTCAAAATTTAAAGATTTTTTATAAACACATATTAATTTATATAATATATTTCAACATAAAATAAGATTTAAAAAAAAATATTTTTTAGATTATTATTTCACATCATTATTTTGATTAAAGAATATCTGTTTTGCGTTGCCTCAGTTATTATTATTCATTTTGTTTTTAGACAAGTGTATGACGTGTAAAAACCGAATTATAGACTTTGTTCCGCTTTAAATGTTTAGCTAAAAATTTAGAATATTTATTGACACATTTCGCAAATATTACCTTTGTTTATTATATTTCTGTTGTGCTATGTGGGTGAGACTGGCCGCTTCATTTACAACAGAATTTCCGAGCACAACAGAAATATAATAAACAAAGATCCCAAATCTTTGATCTTTCAGCATACCTCAAAAACCGGCCATGCCTTTAACCTTTCCGACCCAACCTGTCATTACCATAACATCAAATCCAAATATCAAAGATTATTAATAGAATCCTTTGTCTCTCATGATTTAAACAGTATCAACAGGCGTATAGAACTACCATCTCAGTACCACTCTTTCAAGAATAAACAGCCCAGCCCTTCCTTTTCACCAGATCCTTCCTCATCTTCCCCAGTTTCAAATTCACACCCATAACCCCATACACCATGTTTTGTTCGCATGTAGATAGATATACGCCCTTCAACAGGTAAATGGAATAAAGGGACCAATGGCTATGAATAGAAAACAAACTGAGCTTTGGACAAAGATGAAACAACTGCAGCCTGGCCACGAGAAAACGTGAACTCGTGAAATGTGTTTATATTTATTTTATTTTATATTTTATTTTCTATCTTCGTTAGGTGTATATAAATAATATTGTACAACTATATATACTCTTTCTCTCAACTTACAGCTTAGCCTGTGGAAGGATCGATAAGATCCGAAAGCTAGCATAATAAATTTCATGTATAAAGAGACGCAATGCTATCGTTTGTTTTTATTTAATTATAAAGAAAGCATATCCCCCCTGACCACGATCACATATGCTTTTTAGATGGCAGAGCGCCATCTAGTGGAACAGAAATAAACTAAACGTTGATTTAACTTGTTTCCTGATATTTGGTCAACCCAATTTCTTGATAATTAAGAAAAGCCATCCACGAAAAAAAAAAAAAAAAACATGTGCTCCTGGTCCGGATATGCTTTCTTTATTTTTAATTTCAACACCTTACCCACTTATTATTTTTTTCTACTATTTTGTTTATATAATATTATATAAATATATATAGTTAATTTATAAATTCAATTGTCATTTATCGATAAAATGTTTAGTATAAAATATACTTTAAATAGGTAAAATAAATGATATTTTGATTCAATATATGCCTTCTTAATTTATAATATTGTAGCGTAGAAATCAAGTTTTGGAATATCTTAAGATGTAAAAGTATTTATTGATGACGTCAGTACGGCTAGTTGACAATTATCAACCAAACTATCTACATATCAAACTATCTATAGCTAGGCAATCTTGAAAAAACAAGCAAAGAAATATTTTTAAGATGACTTTACAAATACAGAGTAATATATATATTTATAATCTGTTGAATATTTTCATTGAATAATATTAAATTGAATAATTTATTATTTCTTCGCCACAATATATACATATATAAAATATATTTATGAATATATATGCCTTTTTAATTAAAGATCTATCAATGTATTGCTACTTTTTCAAAGGATATGTATATTTCGAAGATATTTAAAAAGAATGAAGTTATTTTAAAAGAATTTCCCAAAATATTTTAAAATTATATGGATGCCGAGCTCAGCTGTGAATAAGGGCCATCAATTTTCCACATCATGGCATAAGCTGTGGGCAAACTTATAATTACTTCATTCGATGCACAAATTTTATTTGGGCAGCGATAGGCTATCTTCTTATAAAACACATTATCTATTTTCTTTTACTTTTAACTTTCAATCTGAAATTCTTCGAAAAGTTAAAAATTAAATAATATCCTAGATATATCAACATTATAGAACGATATTTGGAGATTATCCCGCATGTGTTTCTTTTAAACGAAAAATCGCAATTTATTTCAAGGAGAAATAACAACTATTTCTAACCTTAGGGATGAAGTATGAACATATTTTTTCATACTTTCATACTTCATCCCTAAAGTTAGGAGTTAACGTTATTTCTCCTTAAAATAAATTGCGATTTTTCGTTCAAAAGAAACACATGCGGGATAATTTTCAAATATCGATCTACAATTATAAGCCGCATTATATTGTATTTTATATCAACATTATATGTAGATAGGTTTAGAGTTGTACAAAGTTTCTCTAACAAAAATGTAATATAAAAATATATTTTGAAAATAGAGCAATCCATAAATAAATCTTTAATTAAAAAGGTATATTCGGATCAAAATATTATATATTTTTCCAATATTTCAGTTGGCTGAACACCAATCTTTATCAAGGTTTTTAACATTTTAATGTGTGTTATAATACCTTAATGAAAGCTGGTGTTGAGCCAACTGAAATATTGGTAAATTCAATATATACCCTTTTAAATAAATAAAAAATATATGAAAACCAGCGTATCAGATATTGATAGATAGAAGGATATTGAGATTTTTATAGACCAGCATCCAATAACTTTATTTTGTGGAGATATATTATATATTTATTTATTTTATTATTTCATGATAAGGCATATACAATTTGGATTATAGATTATAAACACAAATGGAAATAAGACCAAATCCAAATAAATAAATATTGCGAGATGTTTCGGTAACAGCGTTGTTACCATCATAAAATGAAAGTAATGATTCATTGAATTAATGAATCAGTAATTTTGACTGATGATAGTAAAAACGCTGTTACCGAAACATATCACACACTAATTATTCATTTGTATTCGGTCTTATTACCATGTGATTTATTAATTCATTTTTATTTAGAGATAAAATATTGAAAAACTATTTTTATATGCAGAATATATTTCAGCATTAGTGGGGAGCAGTCCAACCATACCAGTCCTCCCTGGAACCTTGAAATATTTTACCAAATTCGGGTGCAAGGCGACTAACGTGGAAACGGTATCCATTTTCAAATGAATATATTGTGACCTCAGATATTTAATTTTATATTGTATATTGATAATATTTATATAAAAAATAGACACTTCGGCCAGTTGGAGTTTTATATTTTCTCAACGTTTCGACAAAAAACCTTTGTCTTCGTCAGGAGAAGTAAATAAAAATAAACATTTGGCAAGGCGTTAAAAATTGTTCTGAGATTTGCAAGGGCGTTCTCACGTGATTTTTCGAATTTAGTACATAAAAATAAACATTTGGCAAGGCGTTAAAATCTTTACGATGTATATTGATAAGTCTAATCATTGATATGAAAATTATTTATTTCTTTATTTGTGTGACAAATAGCATTGTCTTTTTTTCACGCATACAATATCCTTCATTAAGATCTTAGTATTATGCAGATTCTCTCTCTCCGAGAGAAAAAAAAGGAGGAAATAAAAAATGAAAAAAAAAAGTGTAGAAATACCTATATTCACAGATAAGTGAATTCTCTATCATATCATATATTTATAGATAAATCTACTTATTTATACATTTTCGAAATAAATATTCAAAGAATTGAATGAAAAATGGAGTAATAAATATATAATATTAGAATGGAATAATATATAGGTTTAAATAATAGATTCTATATGCTGATTTCTCTTTTTTAAAATAAATTTCGGTATGTAAATATGTATTATTATATGCAAATATGCAATTTTGCATTGAAGAAGGGTTATGTAAATATAAAAATGGTGTGTGTATAAGGTGTGAATAAAGTGTGTGTGTGATGATGGTTTTTTGAATTTGTCAAAATGAAATCCTATCTTTTATGATGTCTGATATTGAGGGCAACCAATAGATAGCAAATAACGACAAATAAAAATTCATATATTGTATTGAATAAAACTATTTATTTAAATTTCAGTTGGGACTGATATAGTGTATTCAATAAATAGGTCTATATAAAATATATTGGCAATCTCATTTATCAAAATTCGAAACTATTTTAAAGGCGTAAGATTCTTTTTGAAATTAAACAATTTCTACTGCCCTTTCTGCAATGGAAAAATTAATGGGAGGGCCCATTAAACTGGCGAAACCGTTGGGAGGGTTCACCACTGATGAGCCAGGCCCTCTCATTAATTTTTCCATTGTAGTAAGGGCAGTAGAAATTGTTTAATTTCAAAAAGAATCTTACGCCTTTAAAATAGTTTCGAATTTTGATAACAGATGGCGCGCTAGTGCATCATATTATAAATCTCATTTATACATAGAAACGTTTAATTGGAAACGAATATATTGAATAAAATATAATTAATTTTACCAATAATTCAGTAGCCTGAACGCTAACCTTTTCCAAGTTATTATAATAACATATCAATGTGTAGAAAAAATTATATCCTGATCGTGTAACTGAGAGATGCTGATGGCTTGCGCCATCACTAGAAATAAATATCAACTAATCGTTAATTTATAATACAATACAATATAATGCGGCTTGTGATTGTAAAACGACATTCAAAAATTATCCCCCATGAGTTTCTTTTCAATGAAAAACAAAATTTATTTTAAGGAGAAATAACGACTATTTCTAACCTTAGGGATGAAGTATGAAAGAATGACTTGTGAAGAGTAATGATAAACGGAAAATAAAAGTGTCCAGGGATGGGAATCGAACCCACAGTGTTCAGCTTACCGGGCAGATGCCATGTCCACTAGGCTACCCTGGACATATTTTTCCCGTTCGTAAATATTATATAAAGTAATTTATAATACAATATAATGCGCTTATGATTAAGTTCAGAAATAATCGTTATTTCTCCTTTAAATACATTTTGTTTTTTCATTTAAAAGAAACTCATGCTGGATAATTTTTAAATGTCGTTTTAAAATCGGTAATTATTCCAGAATTGGCCAAATACCGTCTCCTAACTTTCAGTTGCACGATCAGGAAATGGCTTCTTTTCATAATTGATCCACCTGATCCAAGTAAATATCAACTTTTGTATTATTTTTCATATTATTGTGTTATAATACCTAGATAAAGGTTGGCTTTCAGCCAACTGAAATATTGGTAAAATAAATTATATTTTGATCTAATATATGCCTTTTTAATTAGAGATATATTTATGGATTGCTTTATTTTCGAAACATAGATACGTTGAAAATAAAAAAAATATATGAAAAACACTAAATCTCTCCTCTCATCCATTATTCCTTTTCTGAAAAATAGGTTTCTGAAATTTACTGGTACTTTACTCATATTTTAAAGTAATTTTAAAATAGCTTATCTAAATGTGACAAGGATTTAGGTATAAATATAAAGGTTGATAGAAATTTATTAATATATATATTTTGATGGGAGAGGCGACCTTTGTCTATTTAAATTAATATATATGTGTGAAAAAATAATAGAAAAAATAAAAAGATTAGGTGTTGATATTGTTTCACCAGGTTGCGGCTTGGCAGACTCTTCAACCTTGATTCTCTCCTGTGCTGGGTCTTGTATCTTACCAGAGCGTGTTTCAACCATCCTACAAATTTATATAAGTGGAGATAACTCTACTTTAAGTAGCCTCCAGAATTATTTATTTATTTCTCACATCAAAGGGAGTAATGAAGTCACATAGTGTACCAAAATACAAATGGTGATTTTATAATACATAAATCTGTTTATAATATATATATGTTGTTTAATAGAATAAATAAATATGAAATATGAATTTGAATTTAAACTCTATGAAAAATAATCGTACAAATTAAAATAAAATAGGTGCATTAGCCATAATGCAACAATATTAAAAATAAAAAAGGCATATCCTGACCAGGAGCACATGTGCTTTTTAGAATGGCAGAGCGCCACCTAGTGGAACAGAAATCAACTAAACATTGATTTAACCTGTTCCCTGACATTTAGCCAACCCATTTTCTTGATAAATCAAGAAAAGCCTTTCAAGATTTTGGATTTTATTATTCTATGGAAATATTTTTAAATTCAAAATTTGTAAATCGATACACTGTAAATTTTTCTCATTAAATGAATTGTAGTGCCATCCTGGAATTTATCTTCCTTAATTTTCTATGTTACAATATGAAAAGCTTGTAGAAGATCGATTTTTCTTTATTATTATGAATTCATATAATAAGTTTTACAGCCAATGTATATTACAAATGTTTCATGACAAGTGTCCAATGAAAATATTTAATTCAAATTTGTATTTACACTATAAATATCAGTTTATACCAGTTATAGTTATTTTTCCAATATCCTTCGTATTTCCTTATGCGAAAAATATTCCTTTTATATATATATATATATATATATATATATAGATGGAAAATTTGCCGGGAGGATATTAATCCATGGAAGCAATGGTCGCCTCTCCCGTCAAAATAAACCTCAGAATCTGACGCCATCTATTGACCGTCGCCGCAACTAGCGGCATCGGGTCGGTGAGGTGACAAAGCCACAACACCAACTTTGGCAAACTAGGTGGACGCTTATCAGTTTGCCAAAGCTGGTGTTGTGGCTTTGTCACCGACCTGATGCCGCTAGTTGCGGCGACGGTCAATAGATGGCGTCAGATTCTGACGTTTATTTTGACGGGAAAGGCGACCATTGCTTCCATATATATATATATAAGTAGTTTTAAATATAATTTATATGAAAGGTAATTGTAATAGAGAATGAGAAATGATAATTAAAAACAAATTATAAAATATTACTTTTAGGGTATCAAAAAGGTTTTTTTAAGTAACAATATAGGGTTATAACAAGTTCAGTTACGTCATTTAAGCAGAACATAGAAAAAAAGGAAGAATTGAAGGTATTACATATAAATAAAATCTGTTCAGAATATAAAAAGAGAGAAAATACCTTTGCTATTTAAACTGAATATAAAATTTGTATTTGTCAAATTGCGTTTATTTATATCTAAATGTTCCATAAAGAATAAAGCTTTCTCTTCATAAATTATAGATTCAAACTTGATATCGTATACCTAGCTATAAAACATAATAGGCTTTCATGGCTTTATATTTGAATATAACAATTCTAAATCTCTACTAAAGATTGGCTAGGTTGTTTTGAAAATGTATATTTTACTTCCTTCTTTAGTTTTATGGAGAAAGCTTTAAAGTGCTAGTGGCTTTGGTAAAAGGGTTTATATGTATATTTTATATATGCATATAAATCTAAAATTTTCTATTATGATATTTTATATAATGGGAGAATATTTTATAAGGAGGAATATTTTAAGAAAAGCTTCGTGTTTAAATATATATATATATGCCGAAGTGGCGCCCTCTGCTTTTGTAGATCAATATCCTGTAGGCAAGATTTCCATATATATATAATACTATTGAGATAAGTTCAAGATAAAAATTTTAGTTGATTAATTGGAAACATAAGAGGTTTGTGTTCAATATACAAGTATATATATGTTATGATTGTTTTGGTTAGTTGTTGAAAAAAATAAAGAATTGAAGATGCAGTCGTAAAAATAGGAAAGTTAATTATTTACCCATCAAGTAGTTTTTATTTTGAATTACTTGAAGTAAATTACTCATAAAATTATTTTCACAGTAATATAGAATTTATAAAATGAATCCTAAATTCGTGATTTAAAAAAAAAGATAGGTCAACTATACATATTTACAACAAATATATTCAAAGTGTTATGTTCTAAATCTATGGTCAAAAATAAAAGAATAGTCAATGATGAAAGTAAAATACATATTTTTAAGAAATAAAATAATTGCATTTCAGATTATATAATATATATATATATATATTTAATAAATAAAATTTATATATTTTATAAATGAAAAAACACACAAAATACAATAGAGAAAAAACACTCAACAAAGCTTCGGCTGTTACGCGTCATATGCTGGGTAGAAAAAGAGTATATATATGAAAAATAAGTGAAAATAAAAATGGTTCAGGTGTTAATATTATGTATAAATAATTATATATCTATAATATTGAAGTATAATATAGAAAATAAATAAGTAGAAAGAAGTTTATATTTTGATTTTCGAGGAAAGTGTATTCTGATATTATGATTATCTATAAAAAATTTAATTCAAATCAAATCAAGTTATCTTTTGCCTTTGATCTTTTATATTATTCAATGAACAATCACCCCACAACATTTTGGTCCCTCGGGCCGGATGAATAAAAAATTAAGTAATTTATACTCATACAAAATTTAATTAAAAAAAAAAATCAGGCAATTTACAAAAATTTTAAATTCAATCAAAATTCAAACAATTTGAAATAAAATCTAATTCACAAATCAGAATCAAGAAATATTTTAAATAAAACTCCTAAATCTCAATCACAAGTTTTATAATAATAAAATGTAATTCGAATCAAGATCAATTCAATCTGCCAATTGTTTCTTTAATATACTTATTGAACAATCGTACCAAAACAATGTATATATTGCAAATCTGATGGAGAAATAAGCTAAATGTATTGAAAATGTGTAAGACTAATCAGAATTCTTGGTATTATTATCTCAAATTGGAGAGATTCAGATAAAATATTCTTCAAAAATCAAGATAAATAAACAACCTATATTGATTTAGACTGTTCCATGATAATTGGCCAACCCATTTTCTTGATAAATCAAGAAAAGCAAACTACCAAAAGCATTTCGGGCTGTTGGCCCTGGTCAGAAAGTACAAGCTCTACCACTACGACCAAAATATATGCATTAATTAAAATCCTCTATAATTTTGTTTTTTCTTAAATAATTTATTAAAGAAGAGGGCCAACATCCTTGCTTTTGTGATTTATTTATTTATTTTTATTTGTTAAGAAAATAGTTAGACAAATATAAGGGAACAAGCTAAATAACTGTTTAGATGATTTCTGTTCCATTATAGATGGCGCTCTGCAATCTAAAAAGCTCAGGTGAGCGATTAGGAAATGCCTATTTTTTTTTTTTTTATCAACAAACCTTTTTTCTATTTTCTTTTTAATTAGTTTTTCACACAGACATTTATATATGTGAAATAATTGTCACAAATTGCGATAATGTACTGGGATAAGGTGCACACATTAAGAAAAAATTAGATTGTGATGGTAATGATAGATGATGTTAGAATGGCTGATATTGCCATCAGCAACTTTCAATTGTACGATAAAGAGATGTTCCCTTTTTTATTTACATATATATAATATGGGTACATTCAATATATACATATAAAATTAAACCTGTCTATAGCGCCCATCTAAATAGCGCCTCCCTCTTTATAACGCCCGATTTTAAATACGTAGTACGATGCGATTAACATTAAAAGTGACCTGTCTATAGCACACTCTCTCTATAGCACCCTATTTTGTCGAGTCCCAAGAGGAGGCGTTATAGACAGGTTTAACTGTATATGTATATTTAATACATATTAATCATATATTATAATCAAATACTATTTCTTATAGCTAAATAAAGCGACGATATGATCTAGGAAGATGTCCTATGAGATAAAGACTTTGACTCGATGTACATGTTAAGATGGTAGTGAGTTATAGGCATTATATAAATGTTAGTAACGAGGAGATGTCAAGATGGAGAGAGCCAACAACTTATAACCGTTCTAAATGGCGCCTCATTCTGTAGATTATTTATTTACACCTTCATTATCTTGAGCACAGGTGAAACACTGAGCGTGCCAGCCACACATTACTTCTTAAACCTTCGTCTTGTAAACGGCTACATCA